TTGGCAACTGCAGTTTTTACTTTTTGATTTTATTAGAAAGACGCACCAGTCCATCTCCTGGTTCATTTGCCTTTGTCGCCTCTTACGTCACCCACGCGACGATATAGGGTGCTGGATATTCTTACATCGCCCCCCCACACGGTATAACTATTAAATAAATTGCTTAGAAATATCAAATATAAATACAATTTTAGGCGATACGTGTCCTTTTTAAACAAAATTAAAAGGTTACGCTCATACTAACATCTTCCGGGCCTGTGTTCATGTTGTCGAAATGTTCCGATTACACAATCTGAAATTTCCAATTTTATATAAGACATATACGTTATAGTTGTACTAGTTTGTAGAGCCCATTACAAAGTTTGGATTCTGTTTGGGTAGGCCCAAAGTGGTGCCTACACCAATCTCTCCTTTTTCCATTTAAAAAGAATACTATTAAACTCTTTTGAAATCACTTTTGCACCCGTTTGCCATTCCAAGTAAACTAAAAACGCTTATGTTAGAACTTATTCGTGACAATAGTCGAACGGCGAATTGGATACTAGGACTTTCCAAGCTTGCAGTCTCTATCCTTGACCATTAGGCTTATCTATCAAATTTTTTTTTAAATTATAATTATATTAAGCTTTTTAATTAAATACTCTTCACCTTTTTTATAATATATACTACTTTTTTTCAGTTTTTCTTCTCTTCTGCTACATGATAGTTTTTGTGATTGCTCACGGACCTCCATTGGAACGTGATAACGAAGACGTTGTTATGGGGCGGAAGGTAAAAAAAGTAATGCACCTGTTTTAAGCCAAATTTTCCTTTTAAATAGGTAAGGTGTTCGATAGTGGCTATCAATATTTGATAATATTTCTAAAACACATAAAGGTATTCACCATTTGTGTCATTACGTCGTGGCAAGGTGAAATAATTCATAATTAGTTTGTCTAAAGGAAATAGATACTAGAAAGATCTTATGACCCCCTAACAGTGATGGTTTCCCCACCACATATGTGAAAGTTGTTTAATATTCTAAATGATTACCGTATGCAGTTTCTGTAAGAGTTTAATTTTTTTTTATAGCATAGGGTGACAAACGAGCACACAGTCCACCTGATGGTAAGTGGTTACTGTGTGGTGGTTAAGTGTGTTTCCCATAGACATATACATCTAATCCTCAATAAAGAATCAAACTGCAGATGCGTTGTCACCCGTGAGTGCTAAGATGGAATGCCTTCTATTTTTTTATAGAATAGGGCTGACAAATGAGCACATATTCCACCTGATGGTAAGTGGTTACATTGGCCCATAGACATCTACATCTATCTTCGTTTGCGAATTAAAATGCAGATGCGTTGTCAGCCGTGAGGGCTAAGATAAAATGCCTCTTTTCCAGTAAAATGGGTCTCCGGTTCCCTACACACACCATACGGAACACAGCAGTGTCAGGCAGCTATTTTACGCTAGTATTCTGGGAGAGCGTGGTCCTTCCTCGGTCGAGCCAACCCATTCGTGCTACAACTATACTACTAATATAGCTGTACCATGCCTTTACCACGTATAAAATTTTAACTTTGCTATTACGGAAAATCTAACCACCAGCAGTGTTCACTGCATATATATAATTGCATGTTTTGAATGAATGAAAATAAAAAATAAAATATTTAACGCAAATAAAACTGTTTTAAAATTTCAATTTTTAGTTTTTTAGCAATTATACTTTTTATTGTTAAAAATAGTAAAATTTAAAAAAAAACATAAGAAAAAAGAAAAGTTAAGTACAAAGCTTTATCTACTAACCACCTTTTAATTTTTAACTAACCATGTTATTTTAAAATTCGTTGGACTTTTTTATAATAATACATATTGCACAAGTAGTAAAATTAAAAGTTTTGTACAACCGACTTCAATATAAATATAATTTATTGTTGATTTTTTAAAAACCACTTATTCGATTTCGATAAAATTTAAATGGAACCACCTGGGAAGTATACCCTTTGAAACAAAAAAGAATTTTCCAATTCAGTGCAGGTGTGTTCGAGTAATCGATGTACATACATAAAAAAAAGATTCCGACGAATTGTTAACATCCTCCTTTTTGAAATAGGTTGAAAACTTACATAAAACATCAGTTTTATTTAAATAATCAATTTCAGTTCCTCTAAAGTTTTAAGAAATTTTCAGTATATTTTCTTATAAATAAAAAATACAAAATGCAACGCAGGGCTATAAACAAGAACAAAACTTCCCTGCGAACACAGCAAACTCAATTTCCATGCTATTAAAGTTTTATTCGTTTAATAACAGACGACGAAGTTCTGATTCCATTGCATTCACAATGAAATATACGAAGAAGATAAAATGTAAATGTAATATTTTTTATATATTATAAAAATTAAATTAAATTTATAATGTCGTCTTACTCACCGTGTAATTCACATTTTACAATATAAAATAAAATTAAGTAGATTATACCTCCAGACTGTATTTTTCAGTTTTTTTTTTCGGTCTCTACTCCCAATATCTCCTAGTCCGATGGGAGGGCAAACCGACAAGACCGCAGAGAGTTCAAGCGCAGGACTAACGGCTTAGCGTGCTTTCTGAGACCTAGGGTTTCACAAAGCCGTCAAATTCCTGTTTCGGGTTGCTACTGAGAATTTCTTGACAGAAAAAAATATTTTTACTTGACCCAGGATTTGAACCCAAGGCTACATGATCGGCAGTCGTGCTACGACCACTAGAACAACGAGGCTTTTTTTATAACATAGTTTTAAATTATTTATAATATAGTTTTAAGTTATATCAAGATTTGAGACACACATTTGTTCCGGTACTCGGCGACATTTTCTCGAGAAATATTGGCACGGCCGGTGTATGGAGTATCACCATCACAATCTTATCGGTTTGCAACATATCATTGATATGCAGAAGAAACAACATGCATCCTTGTGGAAAACCAGCATTAATAGGCTTGTAATCGGAGCATGTACCGCCACAACGACCTTGATGCTCTGATCTGCAAAAAAGCTGGTGGTCCAATTGCCCAATTTTACGGGAAGCCCATAGGAAGTGTGCTCCGAATGAAGCGCTTTGTGTCAAACCCGATCGATGGCCTTCCCAATGTCCAAATTAACGGTCAATACCTCCCCCTTGGACTCTACTGCCTCCGCCCATCTACGAGTCTGGTAGGCCAGAATATCACCAGCTGATCAACCCCGAAAACAGTATTGGCGGTCACTAATCAGCTGGTGATCCTCAAGGTAACGCATGAGCTGGCAGTTTATAATGGATTCCATTATTTTGGAGAACTAGGAGGTGATAGCGATAGGCCTGTAGTTAGACGGGTCTACGCAGTCACTTTTGTTTGGGATCGAGTGGCCGAAAGCCGTCTTCCATGATTTCGGTACTTAACCTAGGGAGTAGAAGTACCGGAAAAGATGCGTTAGAAACGGTGCCAACTCTGGAGCACACATCCTCAGCACAATTGTGGGGATTCCGTCAGGCTCACTCGACTTGTGAATGTCGAGGGAGAGGAGTGCTTTGCAAACCGAGCGCTGTATGAACCGCACATTCGGCATGGAGCACTCACACCGCGGGATGGTCGACGGCGTGTTCTCCTATTCATCGAGTGTCGAATTGGACGCAAAGAAAGAGCCTAGGCGATCGGCTTTCTCCTTTGCGGCATGGGCCAGTGAGTCATCCTCCCTGTGCAGAGATGGAAGAGATGGCTGACAAAAGTTCCCTTGGAAACCCTTGGCGAGAGACCACAATGCACGGATTCCCAAATGAAGGCGAACTAGTTTCTCACCAATTCTGCCTATGTGCTCTGACTTTGCCTTGGCAGTGACTCTTTTGAAAGACCTGGAGGCGGAATTATACTTCCTTTTAAGAGCGCTGGTGTTTACATCCCAAGACGTTGATGCGTCAGCCCAGGCCTGGTAGCACTCCTGCTTATATCGTGATGCTATTTTATGCTATTTAGCACAAAAAGAGCTAAGTTAGTATTCGTCGCAGTGTAGAATAAAATCAGCAACCTTCTCCTTAAGTTATAAGTTTTGTGATTATTATCCACCAACATTCACTCTGTTAAAATATATACTAAATGAAATCTATAACGTTCCTCACTACCATTTCTACTTTAGTATTATCCTCATTTTTTTTAAAGTTACGAAAAAAAGGTTTTGATATTTTACCACAGAATTTACCCATTTTTAGTTAATTTATCTGTATGAATCTTAATGGAATGGATACATAGTTTATTTGCCTTTTATATGAAAACTGCACTTTCTATAGCACACTTTTCTATTACTTCAAAAGCAGGCTATTTAAGGCCAAGTTTTAAATTTTAAAATCCTCTTATTTAAATTTTTTCGAGCGAAATTTTTTGAAGCAGTCCGATTCCTTTGATAAAAACTACTTGCTTCACCAGGACAAAAACTTTACTTTTCTTTTTTTAACGGACTTCAAAAAGGAGGAGATATTCAAGTCGACAGTATTTTTTTATGTGTTACCTCATAACTTTTTTCTAGGTGCACCGATTTTGATGATACTTTATTTATTTGAAAGCTGGTGCTTTTCAAATGGTCCCACATAAATTTGATCAAGGTCTTACCAATTTTTGAGTTATCCTTAATAATTTATATTGATGTCGGTGGTACAAATGTTTAATTTTACCACTTGTATACCTAGATTTCTTAAACACCTAATCGCTATTTCTACTACTGGTACCACCAAGTGCCACCCTCTTACTCAATTCTGCCGTCGAATAGCCGTGCGTGCACTGCTATATTTCAGTGTGAAGGATATAGAGAGGGTAGATATAATTATGGGTTGTGAGGCATTTGATCTTAGCCCTCAGAATACATCTGTCCTCTTCTTTATTTAAAGTTGGTTGTAAGTGTTCAGGGGCTGCAGTAGTCACTTACCATTACTAGGTGGACTATACGTTAGTTTCTCTGTGTTAAGCAATTAAAAAGAATTGAAAAACCACCTACTAATTTACTTTTAAACAGATGGGTGCTAAATGGTGCAGTATGGCGAAGGTGTGTAACCACGACCGTGTGCCAGTGTGTGGAGTGAATCACGCTGGTGATATTATGGGCTTCAGGGATCTTTGCGACATGTTTGATTTCAACTGTATCCGGAGACGAAGTTAGTGTATAAAAATATTTTCTAGTGTATATAATATCTATATTTATTTATTCTTTATTGCATTCCTTAAAAACTACTACTACTCCTATGACAACACCGAACCAAAATTGCTGTTCAAGATATAACTTAGCCATTTACGTCACATATCCCGACCAATGATGGGAAGCAGTGTCAAAAGTATAAGATGTTTGGCCTTTTCTTAGAAACTTTCAACAAAAGAGGCCCATGAAACGTCCTTCACTTTAACAGGCTGATGAAAAAAATAATACATTCATTGCATTTTTTTATACTAACGATATATATTTACATTAAAATAGCATCATGAGTGGCGGCCTGGTAAGACATGCAGGAAGTCGATGGATACAGGTGGCTCAGGACCGTGCTTTGTGGAGTTCCTTGGGGGAGGCCTATGTTGAACAGTGGACTTGTGAAAGGCTGTAATGATGATGATGATGATCATCATCATCATGATCATCATCGTCAAAGCCAATTCAAGTCCACTGCTGAACATAGACCTCTACCATAGATTAGCTCATTGGGGGGGATTTTTAACAAACCGCCAGCTTTTCATTAATTATCATTAAATTGCATATATATTATTTACAGATTATAAGCAAACAGCTTGCCCCGAAGACAAATCTGTGCTGAGTGTTTCTCGTCGTCCCACTAATAGCTATTATGATGATTAGATATGTATAAAAATATAATATTTATAGAAAACTATAACATTTTTCATCTCCATACTGCAACAATATTGTATAAGTCGAATTTAAATTTGGTTTATAAAAATGTAACAACTAGTATAGATAATAAAAAATGTATGTAATTAATAAAAACGTTTCTTTCATTTTTATCTTTCCAAAATATGTGGAAGACAGCGATTTCATTTTGCATGCCTTAAGCGCGAAGCGCGTAGGGTGTTCTACTAGGGACTAAAAATCAAGATTCCAACGTTTTGTCCCATGAAATCGTATCTAACAATCATATTGTACTAAATGATATAAAAAGCACATTGTCAGAAAGACAAATTATTGTAGAAGTTATAAAAAAATTTTGATTCGATTAATTGCTATTTTTACATAAATAAGTGGTTTTAGTGACTTATAGTAAGAGATTTAGCAAGTCCGCATGGAGGTGTAAACATGATAACATTTGAAAACATCAATTTTTCAATTTAATCTATATTTTAATCTCTTCATCTATCATGTGGAAAGCCATGGAATGTAAATGGCAGTTTAATTTTGTTTTGTTTAGTTATAATTAATTTTTTCGGCTGAGAAATTCTGAAATTTTGGGTGTTTTAAGCAGCCTTGTAATAATTTATTTTACTAAATAAACTGTCTCACTCACTTAATTCGAGCTCGTCCGTCGTCGTGAGTGAATACTGTATCGCTTGTTTGCAGTGGCTCGTGCTCAAAAAGTTCGCTGTACAAATACAAAATATTCGAAAAACCAAATATGATACATACTTGATTATTATTATAATCACAGATTTTTATTAGAATATTTTAAAAGCACAGAATAAATAATAGTACTATGTACTAAAAGTAAGTAGGATTTATATATAAAATATTTATACTCGTATATAGTCTTGGACTTTATGGATTGACATGAATGATTATATGATGATCATATGAGCATTATGAGTCGTGCACTTTTGGATTTTCCACACTTTTTTAATTGAAGTTTGACGTAAAATCATCGGAAAATTGGAAGTATATTGATAAGGTTATTAGTGAAAACTTTTGTGTATTTAAATTACTTTAAAAAATTACGTATAATCATGTTATACGTAATTTTTTTAATGCGCTCAAGGCATGCACAATTGGATTTACCAATAGTTTATTTTTATTTTTATAACAATAGCGTGGACTTCGCGACTTCACTTTATCAACATCATTAGTGTTTAATACCAAAATTCGGGACCAGCTCAATGTCTGTCTGTCACAAGCATTCTTCGTAGAAACTTAACACATCCCGTATTTTATTTAATATAATTTTTATTACTTAATAACTCGACCACAACAACACCTACTGTATCCCGTTTTGATGTTCGTTTTGGCACTAAGCCAACGTACATTTATATAAGTCAAATTGGTCCATAAATATAGAATTGGTTATTAAAACGCCACCTATCAAATGCTAACAGTTCTGTGTGCGTATGCATTTTGTTGTAGAAGAGAATAGAATATTTTTATTCACATAGTTTATGAATAATTCATACAGCAAATTATTTTTTTACTTTTACTTCCATCGTACATCCATCCTCGATTAAGAATCAAAATGCAGATGCCTTGTCATCCCTGAGGATTAAAATGTATCACCACATTTAAGTAAAAAGGGTTTCTGGTGCTCTACACATACTATACAAAACACAGCAGCATTAAGCTGTTTTTGATGTCGGTATTCTGTGAGAGCGTAGTCATTCCCCAGTCGAGTCAACCCATTCGCACTACAACCATACTATGGCTGCAGAGTGGCTCTACCACGTTTAGTAGGTCTAAAAACACCATGGAATCCGCATGACTCCTCTCTTAAGCCGTTGTGACTAGAATAGAAAAGAACTTGGAACAAAACGGATCAATCAACTCTTACTTTTCAGTTATAAGACTTAGTTGGTCATGATAGGTACCGTGGTGTTCCGGTATGAAAACTATGGAAAGATAATATTTAACCAACTTCAAAAAAGGAGGAGGTTTTGTATTCGGCTAAATTTTTATGTATGTTACCTCAGACCTTGTTTCTAGGTGAACCGATTTTGATGATTCGTTTTTATTTGAAAGCTGGTGCTTCTCATGTGGTCCCATATTAATTTGATCAAGATCTGACTAGTAGTTTTATTACATTGATGATATTCTCATTTTTTTATTTATATTGAAGTCTGTTGTACAAAATTTTTAATTTTACATGTGATACATTCTATCCTATTACTCAGAGGGGACAACGCATCCGTGGCTGTTTTTCTTTGAAGTTGATTGCTGTGGCCACTTAACAGCTGGGCTGGGCTTCGTTGGCTTGTTGGTTCAATTTTATAAAATAGACCATCTCAGAAATTTATATATTTTGATCACTATTCCATTTCATGTATTGTTTTTGTATGATACGTTTTGTCACTGTTTACGATTCATTAGAAGAAAAATTATAAGAGAGTTCCTAGAAATATTTTAGGCATTTGACGCGAGATTGTATGAAATGATGACTAAATATTATGTAATGTAAAAATTATCTTATAGAAAAGTAAATTTATTTTAGCCACAGTTTTAGCGAAAGTCTTATTCTTTACAAATCCAAAGTATGTACATATGACTTAAAATTGCTATAATAAAATGCGTATAAAAGAAAATCAAACAAAACTGAAAGTAATTTCTAATCAAATTTTTAAAAAGAAGAAACTACTGCTGTTTAATTTTGAGTGTAGAGAAAATAAAACAGAAAATATAATGAAAATATTTCATTAAAGCCCTTCAGCTGTAGTAAAACTTAAGGTAATAAATTCATTTTAGTTTTAATGAATCTTGGATAACATAACATAACGTAAACTTTCGCGCCTGTTACGTATGGGTTAGGCAGAGACTACGTACTTCCATTTGGCATGATCCTAACACAACTCTTTCGCTTGGCTTTTTGTCATATTCATAGAATAAAATAGAATAGTTTTTATTCAATATTGATTATTAAATAATACTAATTGACAGTCATTTTTTATTTACCACTGGTTCTGAAATACCTTAGTCCTGGGAAGAACCAGCAAGAAACCCAGCGGGACTTTTTTTTTCAAACATATTTCACTAAACAATAATTTCGTTTATACAATTTTTAAATGATTTTTCATAGAACCAGCATGGTGGCGATCACCTTATTCCCAGGGGTTATTTTCATTCATGTATTCCTTGTTATTATAATAACCCTTTTTGTACAGTATTTCTTTAATAAAACTTTTAAACTTGTTTATTGACCAACTTTGAATACGTTCTGGGATTTGGTTGTAAAAGCGTATACATTGCCCCATAAATGAATTACTGATTCTGTGGAGTCTAGTAACTGGCATTATAAGCTTATGTTTGTTCCTAGTGTTTAAAGTATGCACATCCTTATTCTTATTAAAGCTATTTATGTTTTATGTACATACATTACATTTTCATAAATATATTGCGATGCCAAAGTTAATATGTTTATTTCTTAAATTTTTGTCTGAGGGACTCTTTACGATTTAGGTTATAAAACGCCCGAATGGCTCTTTTTTGCTTCGTATCAGTCAGTAAATATAGCTTCAATACCAGTCGCATTACCCCACAGCAAAATTCCATAAGACATTACGCTATGAAAGTAACTAAAATACGCTAATCTAGCTGTCTCAACATCTGTGAGACTTCTAATCGTTTTTTACAGCATATGCTGCAAAACTAAGTCTGCTTGCTAATTTAGATATATGGGGGCCCCATTGAAGTTTCGCATCAATAGTAATACCGAGAAAAACAGTGGTATCCACAAGACTCAACTTCTCCCCATTTAACAGCACATTGTTATTCGAATGTTTTACATTAGGTATTGTAAATTTAATACACTTTGTCTTATTGCCGTTTAAGAGCATATTGTTGGCGTTAAACCAATGTACTAATTTCGATAGAGTATTATTTACATCGTCGTAATTAATTGACTACCGTTTGCGTTTGAAAATTAAAGAGGTATCGTCAGCAAATAATACTATATCGTGATTGTCCCCTACAAGATAAGGTAAGTCATTACTATAGATTAAAAACAGTAATAGGCCAAGAATCGAGCCCTGAGGAACGCCCGTTGATACTACCGATCCGGAGGAACCTTTACCATTGATCACGACTTTTTGAGTTCTGTTACTTAAATATAAAGTAATAAGTCTAAGCGCCAAATTTTTTACACCGTAATGTTGTAGTTTCCTGATTAATGTCTCATGATGAACACAATCGAAAGCCTTGGAAAGATCACAGAAAATACCTAAGGCATATTGTAAATTCTCCCAGGCAATAATGCTACCCAGCTACATTTTAATATACCGTTACCGCTACAGCCTATTAAAGTCCACTGCTGAACATAGGCCTCCCTTATAGATTGCCTTGTAGAGAGGATGTATGAGAGAGGTTGTTGGCCATAGTTACTACGATTGGCAATCTTGTTGACAACCGCGTTTTTTTATTTTTAGTCGTTAGTAGGAAGACGCTACTGCCCATCTCCTCACTTGTTTCCCTTTATCGCCTCTTACGACACACACAAGATAATATGGAGTAATGGATGTTCTTACGTCGCCACTACCCGACTAATTTAATATAATTTTACATTTTCCTAAAAAAAGTAAAAGTTTTTAATTTTCATTACATACATAAGGCATTATTTCAATTATTAAAATATTTACATTATTATTAAATTAATTTAGCCAGAGATGATACTATATGATATTTTTCCGCTTCGAATCCTAAAAGAAATTTCACTATTTTATTTTGAAAGTCCCAATAGACTTATAGCCTTTTGCTTTCGACTTACTGCCACGATATTGCAGCGCTTCGGGTATGTTTGCATACTCAGGGATTGACAGTTTCCCAAACATACTGCGTAAAAAAGCAGGCTCAATATTATGGCGTGTTTCGGTAGCCGGCCGCAACAATGACTTGCAAGCCTTCGCCGTCTACTAGTTGAGCACATGTGCCAAATAACAAAAAAAATTTATTAAGTACTAACATAGGTGAAGTCTTTTTGTAACTAACATTTAGGGATCACTGTTGTTCGATGAATAATTATTTTATTTTAATGTTTAGTATTGGACTATGTCAGTTGCTCTGATTCTTTATTTAAAATACTAACTACTTATACATTAAAAGCATACGGCATATTGTCTTTAGAAACTGGTATGGATGGTAATTTTATAGGCACACATAAAACTTATGTATATGAAAGCGCCGTTGCCAATCTCGATGATAAGGCCGTTTTCAGAAAACTCTTAAAAGTCAAAATCACATATGACGGCTTGCACCTTTGCCAATCGATATTTTGCTCGTGCCACAAAAGACATGATTAAACCGTCATCATCTATCTAAATCTAATACACTTAAGTTTTCATAGTCAACTCTTACGATATCTACAAGTCGGAATTTGATGATAGTTTTTTAGGCTATCACATAATATGTTATACCGCAGCGGGTTTAATATAGCTGATAAAAAAACAAAATGGAGACACATACTTCTCAATGAGGTGGACTTGAGTTTCACCTATACATATAAATAAAATTGTAATGTTAATTTTAACTTAATATTGAAATAACTGGCGTCCATTAACCTCAGGGCATCTTTGAATGCTAATAAGATATAAATAACCAATTTTTAATTTTCTATCTGTCTATCTGTCTGTCTGGGCTAATCTTCGGATTGGCTGAATCGATTGTGATAAAAAATTACCAAAGAAATATTGATAAAATTAAGTCTTTGATTATCTTACATCTAAATATCGCCACATGAGAAGAACCTATCCAGGCGAAGCCAAAGCGGGTCGCTATTATTTTAATATGTTTATACATCAGTCTTTCCATGAATTTACAAACGCTTCTACAACATTGTTGACAAAATTCTGGAGTAATATTGTAATCATCCGGTTATTGTAGTGAAAGTTATCAAAACTTTACTAGTCTCTATTAACTAGGGATCTGCGGTGAAAACATGACAATTTTCTTAATTAATCACTGAACATCTGTAACAGATGCTTAAAATATCCAAATTATTCATTCTTTCGTTACTAATTTCCGCTTTACAATCACATTTAGTTGGAGATAAAATGCATTTGGTAAGTAATTACTTTGGAAAAAAATAATATTATTTACCTTAGAACTTGATGAATGCTTAATTTAGTTTCATATAAAATATTGCTATTCTTCCTCCATTTTTTGCCCTATTCAACAAGAAAGGCCCATGCTAAGTCCTGCACTTTAATAGGCTGATGAAAAATAAAAATACGTTCATTGCATTTTTTATACCATAGACTTCTTTTTTTATAGAATAAGGGTGACAAACGAGCAGACTGTCCACCTGATGGTAAGTGGTTACTGTGGCCCATTGACATCTAAATCTATCTTCGTTTGCGAATTAAAATGCAGATGCGTTGTCAGCCGTGAGGACTAAGATAGAATGCCTCTTTTCCAGTAAAATAGGTCTCCGGTTCTCTACATTCACCATACGAAACACAGCAGCATTAAGCTGCTATTTTACGCTGGTATTCTGTGAGAGCGTGGTCCTTCCCCGGTCGAGCTGACCCATTCGTGCTACAACTATACTATTAATATAGCTGCAGCATGGCTCTACCACGTAAAAAGCTGCAGCATGGCTCTACCACGTAAAAAGCTGCATCATGGCTCGACCACGAAACTTATACTGACTTATATTTACATGAAAATATCATCATCGTCATTATTAAAACCAAGAAAAGTCCACTGCCGAACATTAGCCTCAACCATATATTGTCGCATAGAAGAGATTTTTTAGATCCCTTCTTTCATAGTAGCAATGCTTGGTAGGCGGCAGGCAGGTGGGAATTTTTTGTTATTAATTTGAGTTATCAGGAAAATTCCATCTCTTGTTTCATTTCCTTTTATCGTCTCTTATGACACGGACAAGGTAGTGTTATATTAGTCAGTGGACTCTCTAACGCCATCACTGCACATCGATATTTGACCTATAACTACTAAATTCCTAACATATTTTTCATATCGTCACTTTTTACTAACGTATATTGTAAATAAACAGATAATATTATGGTTTATGTCAGAGAGAGAGAGAGAGAGAGAAAGCTGTCTTTCTATTACTTAGCGATAATGATATTTATTGCCTTTCTTCTTGCAGTCTGAACTAAAAAGCCTCTGTGAGCACGCTTATATTTGTTTTCATGACCAGGTGATTATCTGTGGAAAATCGGTCAATCAAGCAAGAACATTCCTAGATCTTTGCGACATGTACGAATATGCTTGTGAATATAATATGGGTAAGGCACATTATAATGGAACCTAGTTAATATGCTTCTTAATTTCGTTAACATATAATAAAGCATCGTTATTTTAAAAATGTATAGGTACTTTTAAATGACAACAAAATAGAATTTATCTTTATTAAAATACTTTATCAATAGCAAAAACCACTTTGCCAATCTCGACGGATTAATTAAAACAGTAATATAAAATATATTTAAAATTTTGTACAAACGACTTCAATATAAATTATTAAGAATGACTCAAAAATTATTAGTCGCACCTTGATCAAATTTATATGGGACCGCATGAGAAGCACCAGCTTTCAAATAAAAAAAGAATCATCAAATCGGTTCACCCAGAAAAAAGTTATGAGAGATATAAAAAAGAACATACAGTCGAATTGAGTAACTCCTCTTTATTGAAGTCGGTAGAAAATTAAATGATGCATATTTAATTGTTCAGCAGCTCAAATGTTGCTTGTAGTGTATTTAAAGTCTGAAAAATTTATAGTAGCTTCTGTTAATATTGATGAAATCTTTTGTTATATCTGCGGGGAACGAGGCGATTAGCTTGCGATAAATCTTTACGTTTTCACCTACCAATATTCTGCACACTCACATAAAAGCCGTTTAAATGCATTTTTTAATATTTATAAATAAAATATTTAGTTTTCAGACACGTAAAAGAAGATGAAGGTATTTGTCCAAATCCTAAGGAACTAGGTCAAAGGTTTGGATAAAAATTACTTGACAAGATAAAATGTTTAATTATAAAAACAAAAAGTATTACATTTTAAGAATAGAACCGAAAAAGATTAAATAATTCTTAAATAATTACATAACTGGCCGGCAAGAAGGTACGAGAGCAAAATCTGAAAAGAAACAAATGTATCACAAATACTACTAGACCCACAATTTGTACTGATATTTTTATTGCAGTCACGCACAAAATTTACTAAATTCAAAAACATTTCTACGAACTGAATATTACTTACTGTATTTCCAATAACAGTTCACTTGAAGCATATGGCATACATCATCGAATTTCCCATAACCGAAGTTGTCATCATAGCCACATACAGGAGAATGTGTTCTACGACATAACAGAGCGACTGCACACCATGGACTGGTCTTTTTGTTCAGTGAATCAGGCCGCAATACTGGATTAGTACTGAAGGATCTTCGAGACATTAACTGAAATGAAAAGACATCGTTTGTCGGATTCATATTTAACTTATTTAACTTTTTTGAAAATAATTTCCCGCTCATTTTATAATGTAAGTTTCGTAGGAAATAAAGAAAAATCATTATAAGAAAAAGATTTATTGATAAATTTGATTAAAAAAATATTGATAAAAAAGTCAAACTGAGAAGATTGAAATACGCATTACGCATATTCGATATTCTTAAATAGGATTATTTTCCACAATTGGAATAGGATCGGTTTCATTTTTTAGTTCTTTCAATAAAATATTGCCAACCAACATCCCGTATTTTGTAATATTTTTACCAAGTTTTACAACTGGATGATCAGGTTGCTCATCCTCTACATCACTATGTCTATGCTGATAATGTACCTCTACTTGTTCAGGTAATTTTGGCTTCACAATATTATTGCTCAAATTTTCGAGCAGTTGTTTTGTAGTATCTTCATTGAGTTGCACCATTTTGACAAGATGTTCCAACGCTTGTGTATGCTGAATTAATTTTTCTTCCACAAACTCTTTGAACTTTGTAAAGCTTTGTTTTTTCTGGGCTGAATCAGTTACTTCTCTTTTTCGAATTGTCTGGCAAAATAATTAAATCTCTTGCTTAGGAACATATGATATATATTACTAAGAGGTTCTTTAAACGTTAATACTTACCGTCGCTGGTTCAACTGCATAGACTAATACATCTTCTAATCTTTCAATTTGGAATGAATTTGCTACCAAAATTAGAACAGTGGTCACTGAAATAATAAAAAAATAGCATTAAGTTTGGAAGAAAAAATCACCGATAATTAAATTTATATAAACATAGATTTTAATCTTACCAAGAGTAAATAGCCTCATGATGTCTGGAAGCTGTTTAGATCGTTCTTCAATTAGGTTAGTATCCGTATAAGAAACGCAACTTATAGCGTCCATAATTGTGCACTACTAAGAACAATTTTGATATTTGTAAATTTAATTTTCGTTTTTTGAAATCATATTAAATATTAAAATTTTATAATTAATTGTAATATTATATTGTATTGTAATATTTATAAGTTAAAAATAAACACTCCTATGATATAAGTTTAGTGCTGCATACCAAATTCTGCAGAATGGAACAATTATGGAATTATATCGGTGTTTGTATGGCATAAAATATTTTCTCTGAGAGTTTTTTTTTTAGGAGAGGGGGCAAACGAGCATGCGGCTCACCTGATGGTAAGTGACTACCGCCGCCCATGAACAACTGCAACACCAGGGGAATCGCAGATGCGTTGCCGGCCTTTTAAAAAGGAGTACGCTCTTTTCTTGAAGGTCCCTAAGTCGTATCGGTCCGGAAAAATCGCTGATGGTAATCGATTCCACAAGGAGGTCGTGCGAGGAAGAAAACATCTTCTAAATCGCACAGTGGTGGACTGCCAATCATCCAGATGGTGTGGATGGTATCGGGAGTTCTGCCGCGATGTGCGTTCGTGAAATTTCGCGGCTGGGATTAATCCGAACAATTCCTCAGAGCACTCCCCATGGTAGATGCGAAAGAAAATGCAAAGGGATGCAACATCTCTTCGCAGTGCCAATGAATCGAGCCGATCGGAAAGGGCTCGGTCGTCGACAATTCGAGCCGCTCTGCGTTGGATGCGGTCAAGTGGAAGGAGCTGGCACTGGGGAGCCCCTGCCCAGAGATGGGAACAGTATTCCATGTGAGGCCGAACTTGCGCCTTGTAAAGTAGCAGGCGGTGTGCCGGCATGAAATACTGTCCCGCTCTGCTGAGCACGCCAAGCTTTTTAGAGGCCAATTTGGCCTTCCCTTCCAAGTGACCACGAAACTGCACGTCACTCGATATGTCGACTCCGAGGATACCGATACTGGCTGAGGCAAGAAGGGGAGTGCCTTGAAACTGAGGAGATACGACAAAGGGGTTCTTTTTAGCGGTAAACGCGCAAACTTGTGTCTTCTGAGGATTAAATTGGACTAGATTTAGCCGCCCCCAATCCGAGACTTTGTTCAGCAAAGACTCGACTTCAGACACAAGTTTGTTCCGGTACTCAGCGACGTTTTCCCGAGAAATATTGGCACGGCCGGTGTATAGAGCATCACCAGTGCTGTCATCCGCATAGCAATGAATGTTACCAGTTAGCAACATATCATTGATATGCAGAAGAAACAGCGTTGGTGATAGCACACAGCCTTGTGGAACACCAGCGTTAATAGGCTTGTAGAGTTTTCACTATTTTCACAATACTGCGTATAGGTACCTAAATACAGGAGTGAGGTTAAAAGTTTGAATTATAGATTAAAGGGGAATGGAAAAAGTTTTTAGAGATTATCTAAAAAAAACTTTATTTTAAAAATATCACCAATGTTATTAACAATTAAAATTCGCCGTGAGCTTTAAACCACACTTTGTCTCAACAGTAAAAGACGTTCGAATGGCAGATTCCAATAATAAATGTTTGAATCGCCTTTTAAGAAATATATTTATTTTGTGTTCAGTTACATTTTAATTTTTTTTTCCAAAACCGTGTATCCGCAAGTACTGCTAAAAATGTGACAAAATGTTGAAAATAGAAGGTAACATTAGTATAAAAATATAGAATTTTGTTTACTTATTTGTACATTTTTGGGTAAAATGATAATATTTTGTCTGATGTCTTCAATGAGGTCTTATAATTTTCCGCTCATCAGATGTCGCTAGTTAGTCAAAGTCAAAGTCAAAATCTTTATTTACAGAATAAAATGTTTAGGTTATACAGGTATTTAGTATAAGAGTAAGTCTCAATAATATTCTACCGGGAGTTGTACCGGTGTGCAAATATATCTTAAAATAATCAAATTTAATTGTACATAATATAATGTAATGTAATGTTAATCAAAAGCTTAAAAAAATTATATAATACATTAAATAATATTGCAATTAATTAAAATATTCCTTAACACTATAATAACACTTGTCAAGAAGCCATTTATTAATCTCAATTTTGAATTTATTCAAAGGCATTTCTTTTAAGTTATTGGGTAATTTATTATATATTTTAATAGCCATCATAGGAGCACTGTTTGCATAAAATCTAGAGCTGCATTTGGGATGAAATAATCTATTTTCATGCCTTGTTTGCTTTTCGAGAGATTCAGCGTGGGTTTTGAAGTAATTCGGGTGTCGCTTTACAAAAATACATATTTCTCGAATATACATGCATAGCAACGGCAATACGCGTATTTTTTTTGAACAATGGCTTGCAGCTACCAAGAAACCACGCACCACATATCCCTCGCACACATTTCTTTTGTTATTTAAACGCTCTAACCACATTAACAGAATTTCCCCACAAAGGCTGAGCATATAATAGTACTGAAGACACATAACCGTGATAAGCAGCTGGGGCTGCTTTTTGTGATATTGTTTTTCTCAATCTTTTTAAAGCATATACAAACCGGTTTAATTTTGTACAACCTGGTCAATGTGTGGCTTCCAGTTTAAATTTTTGTCAATTTTTATACCTAAAAACATAACTGATTCAACATTTTCTTTCTTCGAATTATCATATTTTATATTCATATTTATAGGTTGCATTTTGTAATTTCCAATTTGTATTAGTTTTGTTTTGTCAATATTAAGTAAAAGATTATTTGAATTAAGCCATGTCACAATAGTATTAATAGAATTATTTATATTGACCTTACAGAATACCGTGAAATAACAGCTTAATGCTACTATGTTTTATATAGTGTTGTTGGATGCAAACGAGGCATTCCATCTTAGTCCTCAGGGGTAACAAAGCATCTGCATTTTGATTGTTAACTGAAGATGGATGTAGGTGTCTATAGGCCACAGGATGCACTTCCCATCAGGTGGACTGTGTGCTCGTTTGTCACGCTTATTATATAATTAAAAGTAGAAAATCGTATATGGAAAACAGTGTTCAAAGCATCAAGAACGTTAAAGCCTAGTATAAAGACACCAATTGATTTATGAAGCGAACAGTGATTGAATTACGAATATTGATACGCTTTTTATTAGTAAATTGTATAATTAATACTCTCTTATTTGCTATGCTTTGTCATAATATATCGTTCCTACTGATAAAAAAAATATTTCTTTAGAAAATGATTCATTAAAGCAAAATTATGCAAGATGTATAAAATTCATATAAACAACACGATGAAATTTTATTTGAATATATATTAAAATACTAATCTATAAAGTCGTTGTTTCATTACTAAAATGATAATAGTGTCCTCCAGACCGAATTTCCAGTCCTAACGGAGTCTAGCTATGTGCGCAGGACAGGACTACAGTTGGTAATCTGACATGAACGGAAAGAGATCAGGGAGCAGTACCAATAACTTTACGTGCTTTCCGTAAAACCTAACTAAGTCAACTTAAAAAGGTAAGACAGCCCTTATAAGTGCCACAGCGACAAGCGAGCGATTATCATTATTTTTAATTTTCTGTTATGTCCACTGGAAGTAATTGTCACCTCTAGTGACAAGATGGCTGGTTCTCTCCTCGCTCAAATGCATGTATTCAGTGAGGAAACGCAGCAAGCGTTCTTGGAGTATGAAGTATACTGCGGGGAGTAAGACGGTATGATAATTTTAGTTTTTAGTTTTTTTTTAAATATTTTTTTATTGTAATAAATATTATATATAACCAATATAATTAAATAAGTATATTTATTCTCACTTCATTAATAAAATACAATTTTTCGAATCATTTTCTTCTAACTATAACAGTTAGAACTTGATATTAGTTTTCATTCTAAAAAACTTATTGCATTGTTTTAGTTTCACGTCGTAAAAGTGATTGCGTGAAGTTTACGATGCAGTATATATTTTCTAACCTTATTTCTTTTTTAATAGACTTTATTCTTATTTATTTTTCTATTAGATTTCAATATTATTTCGCACAAATTTTACCTAAATATTGACACATCAAATTGAAAAAAAAAGTAATATTACCTTATAATGATGACGGCAATATGTACATAGTGTTATGTGAGTAAGAATATTTCATTTTATTTAAAACAAGTAATAATGCATTCTTTAAAGAAATGTCAACGCAAGATTCTTGA